TGTCGAATGCGTGTTGTTTCCTGTGTAAAGTCAGTCAATTTGACCGACTTCCTTCGTTCGTGACTTTGCGTGTCAATTTATTGAGTACTGCCTTGATAGTTGTTATAAATAGGTTGAAGTATGCGTGACTGCTGGATAGAGAGTCGAAGAAGTCAAGAAGACGACACAATCTGTAAACGTTAAAATATCTTTTCTTTGCAGTGCAGGAGCAGGCAAAACACTACGAGCACTGGAATGCGTAACGCAACAACTAACATTGACAAAAATAGTACTGGATGCCATGGACAACGCACCAAGAAGCGAAAGCGAGCCTTACCATATGTTAATTCTTTGAGATGCCAACTAATCCGCCACACAAGTGCATAGGCGTGCTGGTGTATACCCGAGGCTACCGCACCCTGGTAGCCTACCAATTATCACCTGCCACCTAAAAGCTTACCCGTCACACTGCAAATTGGCGAGTCACCGCTACCTTGCCCCACAAGCTATGTGTACTTTGAGATTGCCGACGAATTTCCGACAGCGGGTCATGCTCAACGTTGATCAATATCATTTCAGCGATTTTTCTTTCACTCAGGTCTGAAAACTGAGGGCATTTGCTACATAATTTTTTCATAGTTAATACCACTGTTTGCTATTGTCCCCTCATCATTCTTAAATGCTCTACACTCTCACGGTGCTTTCGCAAACGTGGGCTACATAGCCCGCATGATCGAGACTGCTATACAGGTTAAAAGGAGCCATAGCGGCCAGTCTTTCAGTCCCCTAGATACATTGAGCAGCCAGCGAACGTCGATTATTTCAGTCCACCGTTCGGGCGGGATTTTGGGTCATTAGCTTTACGGCGTGGAAATAGTTAACTAAACCACAAAGAAATACCATCGACATTGAGAAGAGTTAAATCATCTAGAATGGTATTTAAAGTAACATACGAGAAACCTACGGTATTGCCAGCTGTTGCAGAAATTTTTGTTCCCTCAGGGTAGCTAAGATATATTTATTTGCTTGCACGACGACAACCGAGCCAACTGTCAGTCGGCAGAGTCCTTGGCTGGTACGCATTTCTAGTTAAATGCATAGAGTAGGCAGAACGATTGACCAGACTTCAAGAAACACGGAACAATTCTAAACGCATAGAAGTAGACGGTCACAAAGTGTTCATTTTAAGCACTGCACTTATACATGCAGCTGTACACTTTGTCGGTGTGTCCAATGTTTAGACGAGAGTTAGTTATTGGTCTAATATATCCCTTATCAGCCTCAGATAAACAAAAGAAAGACCATTAACTAAGAATAATTAGGTTTCCTTGATAAACTAACGCCAATCTTTGAAAGCAGCTGATTATCTGGTCCACCTATTTGACGTGTGGGTTAGGAAAGCCTGCATGCGATTCACTTACTGCTAAATTATACACTCAAGTACTGCTCACTCAAAAATTATATTTTTATATTATACATGTATTATATGATTATTATAAAATTGGTATATATTCATATACAGATATAGTTTTTATATTCACGATTCTGCATGAGACGAAACTTCATTGGCTTTTCCCTCAATTCTTCCGGGTAGAAGACATTCTGGCTGAATGAACATGTAAACCACCCTTCTCGATAGTCTGTATCAAGGGGAGGGTCGTTATCTTCTGGGAGACAAAAGCGCCCCAACCTTTGTCCGAGTAACTGTCAGTTTATGGTTGTTTTAGCTCCACTTCACGTGTTAGAATGTGGTTCCTTTATTTCTCAGAGTGCAAGCAAGTAACTAATCTGCAAGGAAATACTATCGCCATTGAGAAGAAGCAAGTTTCCTATTACGGAATTAAATTGAATATATGGGATATATACGACAATGTCCACCCTTACCGAAACGTTTGTTATCAGAGGGTAATAAATGTAAGTAGTTTTGCCAGTACGACAGTAACTCCAAAAAATGATAAGTCAGCAAGGGCTGATACGCATTGCTAGTTAAATACCTGCAGTAGGCAAAAAAATTGAACCGACTTCAAGAAACACGGGGCAATCGTAAAAACATAGATGTGGGCGCCAACTCGATGCAT